GAACTACAATCTGTGTACAACGACGACTCAGCAGTAGCGACACAACAAGAGCTACGTGGAGTTGTCGGCGTCGGAGAGATTCTGGTACTGAAGAACGGTGAGCTCAAACTCTAGTTCAATGGCGTCAAGGCAGTAGGGAAAATAGATGAATGTGAGGTTCAAAGGAATCTTGAGCGGCCATTGAAAGGAGTGAAGTGAGGTTTGGATTTAGAGAGAGAGAGAGAGAGAGAGAGAGAGAATTGGGAAGGCAAGAGAGAGAGAGAAAATGAGGTTTGATTTGAGAGAGTCAAATTTCTCTGTGATATATGGGTGTAAGGTTGAGAGACCTTAGACATCATAAAATAATATTATGGATCTCTTTCATTACTAAAAATGGAAGAGGGACCTTAGACTAATTTTTTCTAAAAAATAATATCCAATTCTTTCATCAAATATTCATGAAATTAAAGGAGAGTTATTTATTTATTTTTTATCAAATTGAGAATTTATCAAATCCTTCGTCAAATTTAAATTTGATGAAAATTTAAAAAGACGAAGCATTGGACATGATTTTTTTTTTCCTATCAAATTTGATAAAAACAAAAAGGGGAAATTTTGAATAAGATGGGAATTTCTAAACATTTCGTTTGGTTTGAATGATTTGGAGAGAAAAGAAATGAAATAGAGAGAAATAAATTTTAATCATTTGTTTGAATTACTAAATAGGAGAGAAATAGGAAGACATGGAGAGAAACACATATCTTATAATAATTATTTTGAATCTCTCCAAAAATTTGGAGAGATTTGGAAAAAAAAATAAAATTAACTAAATATTATTTTGTTATAATATCAAAACTACCATAGTAGATATAGAACCAAAAAATAAAAAACTAATGCCAATAAAAGGTTAATTTGGTAATATCATTTTTTTTTTCCTTTCCCTCTTGTCACTTCTACCCTTTCTCTCTCATATTTGGAATCAAATAGATGAGAAAAATGGTGAAGGATTGGAGAGGGAAGAAAGAGATTTATGTATTGCTGTTATAAAATAGTAAATCAGATAAAAAAATATTGGTAGAGTTGAAGAAGGGAAACAAGTTCATTTATGTGATCAAGGTTGGAATTGGGTGTGATTTGTTTGTAGCTAATACTTTGATTCACAATCGGTTCGTTTGGGAAGAATTCTATTAGCATGTCATTTTTATTTTTTAGCTAATTTTAGCTTGGCTAATTTAGCTTTGTTTGGAAAGAATTTTTTTATTGTTTTATTTTTTTTTTAAAAAAAAATTAAATAATTATAATTTAAATATAACATTTTATTTTATTAGCGTATTTAGCCTATTTTATATTTTTGTGCTTCTTTAGTTTCAACCCAAACCCAACCCACTTGCCAAGCGGCAGCAATATATGCCAATTGTGAGTACTTTTAAATTGCGCACCGTTTGCTTGACAAAATGCCCGAAAGGAATGTCATATTGCGGAATGCGATGTTGAGTGCGTTCGTCGAAATGGGTTTGGTGTTCTTAGCTTGTGGATTGTTCGACGAAATGCCGGAAAGAAAAGTGGAGACTTCGAATTTTATGATTTCAAGTTATGTGGTGTTTTTGTTTTGATGAGATCAAGGTTCTGAAAAGCGGTTGCGGTTGCCGTAACGGTGGCGGTGACGCGGTTGCGGTTGCGGTTGCGGGGTGTAAAGGTCGTAGTGTAACGGTTGCGGTAACCGGAACCATGAATTTTTTTATTTTTCGCACAATTTGAAAAAACTTACCAATAAGCATATTTTTTTTTCCATGGTCATATTTATTGGGTTTAAAATAAATATTGATCAATTTTTGTAAATTTTTAAGTATGATCCAATATATTTCATATTTTTAAATCACTATAAATTGAGTTTTTTATATTTTATTTTAATAATTAATGGCTTTATATTATACAAAAAATCATTACCGATACGCATATTTTTTTTCCATGATCATATTTATTGGTTTAAAAATAAATATTGATCAATTTTTGTAAATTTTTAAGTATGATCTAATATATTTCATATTTTTAAATTACTATAAACTGAGTTTTTTACATTTTATTTTAATAATTAATGACTTTATATTTTATAAAAAATTAATCACTAACTATTATATATAAGATAAATAATGACAAAAGTAAGAGAATAAATAAGAGCCTAAATATATATATATATATATATACATATTTTAACCAAGCCAAATAGATAATGACCACACTTATTAGTATTATTATTTCCAAACAATATATAGATAGACACACACAAACAAAATGGTTTAGTGATAGCAGCTGAATAGAATAGCATAGGTTTTATAGCTTCAACAAATCAATAACATGTTCTTCATCTTCCCTCTTCTCTCTCTCTATCTCTTGCTCCTTCATTTTCTCTCTTTATCTTCCCTCTTCTCTCTATCCCTCTTCTCTCTATCCCTCTTCCTCCATTTTCAGCTTTTTTTTTGTGTTTTTTCGAAAGAAACTGTTTAGAACCGTTACGTAACGGCGTGTATCAGGCCGTTACGACCGCTACGGTAGCCGTTACGGCCGACACACCTGTGAATCTCAATCACACTGCAAAAGCGGCCGTAACGGGTGGCGGTAACCGCCAAAACCGTTACGTAACGGCGTTACGTAACGGTTGCGGTCGCTTTTTAAAACCTTGGATGAGATGCTGCCAGTGAAATATGTGGTATCATAGAACGCGATAATTGTGGTTAGGGTCAAAGTAGGACTTGTAAGCGCATTCACAATGGTTAAAATTATTTGTTAAAATATATGTTATATGACAAAAAATAATGAATGTAGGATTTATGTGTTAAAAGGTTTATTAATTTGGAGAGTGGGTGATGATGCAATAGATCTGTTAAGATATGTGTTAAATAATGTATATATAAAAATAATAAGTACAATTTTTTTTTCCTTTTTTTTTTCTTGCCCTCTCTCTTTCTCTCTATCTCTTCTTTATGCCAACTGTGCTGCCAACTCTGCCAGTGCAAACCCCAACACCCCCCTCCCTCTCTCTCTCTCTCTCTCTCTGGGGTTGTAGAGCTTGCTTTTGTTAGCCAACAAATTAACAGCTGACAAAGCATACACTTAATAGCTCCATTGGAGCATCATTTGAGCCTTTCACTAGCCAAAATTTTAATGGCTGACACTAATACACCCTTAACGGCTCCACTATGATGCTTTAAATGAATCGAGTTGAGTAATAAGTTTCAAAATGTATTTAAATATGACTTATTTATCTTTCGTGTTAATCTCAAATGAGCTTTAGTGAAGCAAATCATGAGCAGAATTCAAGTAGTTTGGTTTTTTAGTAGTGCATATAACCAAGTCAAGTCGAGTTGTAGGTTGTCCAAATTTGGTTTGAAAACCTAATGAGTTTTAAAACATGTTCAAGCTTAACTTGTATATATAACGAGTTGATTTTAAATAGGTTTTTAACGCTTCGAGCTTGAATTGTTTGGTTTCATTTGGCAGCATACTCACAGGATTGATATTAATGGTTCCCTAGCTTGTGGACATGTTCTCAAAATGAGTGTGCATTGAGTGGGCTGTGGAAGTCTTTGGTAATAGTTTTAGGAAAGATGTTAGTACACGGAATTCACTGATTGCAGGATTAAGCATCCATGCCTTTGGAGAACATGCCTTGCAGTATTTTCACTGAAATGCGTGTGGATTGTTTTTTAGCCCAATGAGGTTTACCTTTATTAGTGTTGTGATTGATCTCATCATGGTTGGTGTTCATGGCCATCTGATGAACACTATCTGTATGGATTTTACTTGGTCCTTTTGGATTATTAGAAGACGCTGGGGAGCTTGTGAGAAGAAAGCCATTGAAAAAAGCTCCTGTGATTTGGGAGCCTTTTTCTGGGTGCTTGTAGAAACCATGGTAATATTGAAATGGCAAAGCGCATTGCGAGGAAGCTCTTAAAGTTGGATCTTCAAGAGTCCAAGACAGTTCTAGTTATGTTCAGTTGTCAAATTGTCGCCTATTCATACATCCATGGGGAGATGCAATGATGATGCTATAAAAGTGAGGAGAAGGAATGAGCCCGGTTGTAGCATGATTGAATTGGATGTGATTGTTCATAAATTCTTAGCCGGGGAAGGAGGAGTGTTTTAAATATCGGATTATGTACTAGGATTTTAGACTTTCAATACCAATATTCATTGATATATCAATCAATATATGACTGTATCCGATACTGACGCCTATCTCAATACCGTTGTTTAAAACATGGGAAGAAGTGCTTTCCTAAACAGGCGTGATGGATAAGAACGTTGATATTTGATAAAAACAAGTTACAACATAGACTCATTATGCTGAATCCTTGAGAATATTTTGCTGGTTTCAAAATGCTGTGAAGACTATTTTGCTGGTTTCAGGCAAGCAAGCAAGTCACAATGAGGCTATTGGAGGATAAAAAAAACCCTATATGGTAAGTCTCCTTGACTGAATTCATCTTCTGAGACTTGCAAGTATTGGAAGAACTTACTATTTGAACATATTATTTGATGAAGAACATAAAACATTGTTACATTTTGTGCGCTTCTACTTCTTTTTCTTTTTCTTTTTCTTTTTCTTTTTCCTTTTTTTTTTATTATATTAATTCTTGATTTTTTTTTTTTTTTGTGTGGTTAATTTATGCATCTCGGCATCCACTAACTCTTCAAGCATAGTAACTTGGCTTTCAGTTTCTTGCAAACAAAAATACAGAAAAAATTTGAAAGTAGCTTAAATGTCATAAATTTAATCTTAACTAAATGCATTCCTTTCACTTTCATTTTGTTCACCTCTATTTCTATTACTTCAACTTTCCATCATTTGTGGACCTGGAAATTGCTTCAACAGACATCCTTTTAACTTGAATCATAATTGTTATTTTTTTTGGTCATAAGAAAATTGAAAGTGCAACTTAAATATAAGTTAAGCATTATAATACAAGCTAACCATGCTAAATTATTTACAATGACTACTAACTAATCATGATAAAAAGTTCCTAGTCATAGTTCGCTATGTTGATTGCATTATGTAATTCAGGACTAAAACTCTCCAATTTGAGCTCAAACCATACCTGCCTGAACACCTCAATTATGAGATCATGATATTCATCGGCATTCAATGTCAGATAACAAGCCAACAATTCCTCAAGCTCTTCAGCTTTCCTGATCCCTCTCTCATTGATCATCTCAATCATCGAATTCCTAAAATCCTGATCAGGATCGAACGAGCTTTTCACCACCGCAAAGCTGTCAAAGGCAGTTCTGTCCTCAACTTCTTTCGCTTTCTTCTTCATCTTCATCTTTGCTTTCTTCATATCTTCCAGAGCTTTGATTCTCGGCGAATAAACTTTTACTTTGCTGCTCTGTTTTGTTCTTCTCTGCACTTGCCTGTTTATGTAAACAGATTTCCTCTGTTTCTCACTCTTTGAAATTAGCTCTTTCATTTTCATTTCCTTCAATTTTTCCCACTCTGATCTCTGTTTTTCTTCACCTATCCCATCAGTTTCCTCCAAATTGAGAGCTTCAAACGCGCAATTCACAGAAGAGACATAAAAATGTTTTCCAGAATCAGAATCTGTTTTTTCAACAATCCTTATCGGTTCAAGTTCAAATATATCTTTCTCCAATGGGACTGTACTATTCTCTTCTAATTCTTCCAACTTTTCTCCCAAAACTCTTCGAATTGTTCTTCGCGATTTTTGATCTTTCACAGCTTTCCTCCTCTGTACTTTGAGTTCTCTGCACTCTCTTTCTTTTTCTACTCGGTTACACGCAACAATTTCCGGTGAAATCTCTAAACTTGGCGGCAATTCTCTCTTGAAATTTCGTATATCCGGAACCATGTCATTGAACTTCCATGTCTCCTCTCTTCCTGCCATTTTCGACCCAACTGGAAATTGAAGCTCCTCATCTGACTCATACCAAACTGATTGCAAACCAACTGTGCTTTTCTCTCCTCTAGGCCTGTCCTCCCCAAACGAAAGCCTCCAGTCAGAGTCATCACTGCCGCCATAGAATCGACCATCTTTCCAAGTTGCAGGCTTTGGATTGCTCCGAAACACAAAATTCGGTTCGGGTTTTTGGTTTGGTTTCATGGGTTTGTGGTCTGAATTGGTGCCCTTTGGCTTGAACTTGGAAAGCCATGACATAGGAAAGACATGAGACATGGAAGATGAACAAGGTTTCTTTCTTCCCCACTTCATCATTCTCTCTCTTTTCTCTCTGTTTTTGCTTGTGAATTTGGGAAGTTATTTGAATTTGAAGATGATGATAAGAAGTGAAAATGAATAGTGGTTGAAGCAGTTGAGGGGCTGTTAATTGGGAACGTGGGTTTCATACTGGGGTTGGGTGGTGGGTTTGTGATTGTGCCCCTGTTTCTTTCAAAAGCAAGGCCCGCCCTTAAATCTTGTGACCACTTTCTCACTTTTTTTGTACTAATTAGTTTGTTTGTGGACTTTTCTTTGTAGAATAGCTGTTCTTGAATTGTGGGGACCTCTTTCAATTCCTCTATAAGGAATAACATGAAATATATATATATATATATATATATTATCCTTTAACAAGAGTATATGTAAGATCTAAGGAGTTGGTAGGGGTGAATGTGTGATCTTGGGGTTTGAGTGTTACAATTGTGAATGCATTTTCAATTTTTCTCAAAAAAAGAGGAATATGCAAAAATTATCAAGTGATTCTAGCACGTTTATGTGTATTTTCAATGGTATGTAGTTATGTGATCAATTTGTCTCTATTTTGTTTAAAAAAAAGTTCAAATCTCCTCTTATTATTGGATAAACACGTAATTACATGGTATTTTTAAAAATACCATGTAATTTCTTTAGAATATGTGATAGTATATAAGATAAAACTTAGAATTGGATAATACGAACCAAAATAGTGGGTGAGGTGGTTTTAGGGAGAGTGAAAATTTGTATTATTTTGGAATGCAATTTTCTTATATTTTGTAAATATATGTTTTTTATTTGAATAATTTTTTTTAGTATAAGAATTAGCATTACACAACTTCATTTATATTGTCCCTTTAAAAAAAAAAAAATAGTATCGAACATACATTTCCAAATAAAATTGTTTTATATGGTATATGTACATGTTATTCCAAATTTCACTTTTCTCTGGGTGAGGTACCTTTGGTCCACATATTCATATGAAGGTCCCAGAAGCTAACTGACTTTATGGTTTGTTATCTTCCTTTTTTCCAAACAAAAATCAATAATGGGTTTTCTTCTTTTGCTTTAGCTTTGCTTTTACTTTTTTTTTTACCACCATATGATTATTGTTTCTTTAGTCAAAGTTCATATGATTTGGGGGCCATTGCATTTATGTTGAATGGGGCCTCCAAGTTGGGTTGTGCAATCAACCATTTGGTTGTCTGATTGTATTAGATCAGCCCACGTCCTGGCCCACCAAAAACCGGGCAGGAAGGAATATGTGTTTTTGGGGGCAAAATGGTCTTGTGTTAAAGAAAGGGCTTGGGCCAATTCTTAGGTTGGGTTTTAGAGTTTCTGACTTGCTTGGGCTAACAAAAACTTGGCATAGATTGGCCTTTCTAAGTGCCTTGTTGGGGACTTGGTTTTTTTTTTATGTTTTTTTATTTTTTATTTTTATTTTTTTGGCTTTTTAAAATTTTTATAAGGTGAAAAAAGTTAAATGTATTTGAGGATGATTTTTTTAATTGAATATATAGTTTTGAGAAGAAAAAAAAAAAAAGCGATTGATTTGCAATTACGTATGAAGGTTCCAGAAGTTAAAACAACTTTCGAGTAATTTTTTGTCTAATTAAGATTTAATTTTATAAAATTGAGGGTACGATTTTCCTTTTTAATTTCCAGTCAAGGGTTGTTTGAGATGATCTAAATAAATATATTTTTTGACTTTTTATGAAAAAAATATGTAAAAAAGTAAAAAGGTAATTTGATTCAAAAAACTAAAAAGACAGGAAAAAAATGTACTAATATTCAATATGCCAAACAAGCTCACTTTAAGAAAAATCTAACTCAGAGAATTTGACTCAGTTTCTTTAGTCAAAGTGCATAAGATTTGGTGGCCACGACGTTTATGTGAAATTGGGCCTACAAGTTGGGTTGAGCAATCAAACATCTAGTTGGTCTAATTGTATATTAGGTCAGCCCATGACCTGACCAATCAAAAACTAGGAAAAAAAGGCCTTGTGTTGAAAAAGGGCTTGGGCCAATCCTCGGGTTTGGATTTTGCACTTTCAGACTTGCTTGGACTGGTGATGCAGAAGAGGAAAATAATTGCCCCATCTCAAATCAAGGAGAAGTTATCTGGTGTTATCAGAAATCACGTGATTACGTGTCCATTCAACAATAAACGGACATGTAATAATTTTTTAGAAAATATAGGAACAAAACTTAACGTGTAATGGACTTGCTGGTCAGATCATCTCCAACGGATATATTATAATTATGTGTTGATGTGCTAATTGATAAAAAGCGATTACTCATTTTATATTTTAAGTGCTTGTTAATTTAGAAAGTAAGTTGTGTTGCAATCGAGATACTAAAGAGTGTGTTAAGTAAATGGAGGGGAAAAAAACAGTTGTTTCATAACCCTTCCTCCTCCCTCATATGCATTAGTTAGGCCCCTCTCCTCTCTTATTCTCTCTCTTTCGCTCTCTTTCTCTTCTTTGTTAATACATACCGTCACTACAATTAATTTCTGAACAAACAACTGACCATAATTTTTTATTAGTTTAACACCTCCATTAGAGGTAAAAATTGAACCAAAAATGTGTTAGCTAACCAATATTAGCTAGTTGTTCACTATAACTGTAGATACTCCAAGAATAACTCCAATAATAACAGGCATTTTGTCCAGTAAAATACACAACTACATTTTATATTTTGTCTAACCACTCTCCCTAGTATTTACTTTGTTTAGCCTCTAAAGCTCTTCACATATAGCTAGTCAAAAGAAGATAAGACAAAATGCCAATTGTGTTGCCTAGCATGTTAGAGATTCCATTTTACAATGAGGTTAAGCAAAATCCTAAAATAATCCAAATATCTCTCCTATTAGAAATGTTCTAAGACCCTTACAATGAGTTGCTTTAAATTTATGGAAGAGGAAAATTAGCTAATCATCCTCTGATTTTCTAACTGAAATGAATGACCCAAATTCAAATGTGGCTCTAACATGTTTAGAGATTGCACTCTACAAACATCGTTCACACTCCTAGAAACTTGCACATGTTTTAAGCCATTTCTGAAAGAAGAAGGTTTGGTCACTATTCAAGACCTTGTGCCTTTTATTTTATTTTGGAAAAGAGTGTTCAAAAGTCCATCTGATGTGTCTTTCTTGTTTGGATAGTGACTCGGGTGGCTATTTGGATAGACAATGACTTGAGGAAAAGGGAAGAAAATTATGATAGATAGGTGCTCCATACGTGTGTGATGGATTGGTGTTGCATTTGCAATAGGGTAAAGGGAATGTGTCGAGTCATATTCTTTTGCATTGTCTGGTCATGAAAGAGGTTTGTGTTTGGTGTTGATACCCTGGTAAGTTGGGATTTTGTTTGCTTTTTGGAAATGGGGATGTGAATGGTATAGGTTAGGCTTCGTTTGGGAAGCCAAACTTTCAGCTTTTTTGACTAAATAGTCACAAAAAATAAAATAGACTTTTTAATCACAAAAAATAAAACATCACATTCAATCCATAATCATTATATTTTTTCTCTCACAAAAAAGTTTAAAAAATCCAAAAAAGCCAAAAAAATCCTTCCTAAAAGAGGTTTTCAGTAATGCTAAAGACCTCTACTTTAAAACAGTTTCCAAAATTGGAAATTAGGGGCATTAGGGGCAAATTTTTTAGGGCCACCAATCATTTTCCTTTTGGAAATGGGGATTTGAATGGTATAGGTTAGGCTTCGTTTGGGAAGCCAAACTTTCAGCTTTTTTGACTAAAATAGTCACAAAAAATAAAATAGACTTTTTAATCACAAAAAATAAAACATCACATTCAACCCATAATCATTATATTTTTTCTCTCACAAAAAAGTTTAAAAAATCCAAAAAAGCCAAAAAAATCCTTCCTAAAAGAGGTTTTCAGTAATGCTAAAGACCTCTACTTTAGAGGCTCTAATGAGGTGAAAAAGGGCAAAAAAAAAAAAAACAGACACACAGTGCACTGTGGCAGTGGGTGGAACCCACTGCCACATCACTAGTGGCACCTCTATTTAAAGATTCCAAACATTTTTCAAGAGATTTTTTAGCCCCAGGCTAAAAAAACCAAAAAACCAAACAGTCAAACAACTTTTCAATCAAATCCATAGTTACAGAAATAAAAGATTTTTGAATAATGATATAAAAATAAAAAATATATATTAAATTTATCATCAAAATCATATGACCATAATATTTTCATAATTAATTATTATTTAAATATATATTTTATTTAAAAATATAAATTTCAATACAATCACATCACAACTACCAAGATGTTGCTTCTAAATTTCATGACGATACTACTTGTAGTGGAATTTCATCATTCATCAATAAATTTTATTTCAATAATAATATTTAAAAAAAAAAAAAAAAACCTCCACACCAAGTGTACTAACTGGATCTAATTTTGAAGTGAACTAATTGATTCTATTATTTTGAAAATTTAATAAGCTAACCAAATCGTAGAACTCTTTAGAAACTAATCAGAACCATATTGCCAAAAAACAGTTCTAGTTTAGTTCTATGATTTTAAGCTAGAAAATTTGTTAGGGCATCATCATCCTATCTAGTTCAATTTTTTTTTTTTTTTTTTAAATAATCTAATTACTTGAAATTCAACACTTAACCACCCTCTTAAAAAACGAATCAAACCGTTCAATTTAGACAAATTGACATCGATTTATCAGTTCTACCAAATTTTTTGAACACCTACACGTAATTTCAGCACTGGAATTTGAGTGGTTGGTGTAATGATCTGAGGCATATTGGTTAGTGTCATCTTTTTTAAGCATATTTGGTTGGTGTACCTTTTTTAACTCTGATGGAGGCATAGCACCATTTTTTGAATGAACAAGAATAGTTCTAATTTCCACCAATCTCATAGACAAACTAAACCACTAGTTTACTATCGATCAAATATTTGTATTTGCTCTTATTAATCAAACCATAATTTTAGTCAAAAAGGTCCAACAATAACCACAGATGAGATGAGAGTTTATCAACAGCTCAAAACCATCACCATTTCTTTCCACATACAAATCACCATATTTGTATAATATTCTTCTTCTTTCCTATCATATTATATATGTAAAAATGAATGAATTTTTTGAATGTAACAACAAAAATGGGAACAATAACACAAGATTGGACATTATTACTCTTATAAAACTGGTACTGAAATGGGCAAAGGGACTGTAACATCACCAGCAAAACTTGTCTCTCTATTTGCAGCTGAATTGCCAGCAAATGCATACCCAACTCCCAATCCACCAAAATGCAAAACTGCATTCTCACACCTCTGGAAAACTCTAGCCAGTGATGCCGCCTTTCTCCTTGCCCGTTTTGTCCCCGTGAAGAGCAGAGTCTGAAGCAAGCCAGCCAATGAGGGGGCTTTCAACACTCTCTCAGCTGCAGCGGCCCCACCGCTCCGACACAACTCGAGCAATGCAGCCACAGCATTCTCTTTCCCCTTCGGAGTCCCACACCGCATCATTCCTATTAATCCTTCCACCGCTGATTGTTCGTTCCCCACTGTTTCAGCCCCAATTGGCTGCCTAACAATCAATGCCAATGCACCCGCTGCTTCCTCAGCAACGCCTTCAATTCCCAACGCTTTCACTAGCGCGGTTACAGCCCCCGATTCTATCATCCTTGTACAATTATCTGTGTGGGTCGATAAATTGAACAAAGCTGTTACTGCATCTTTCTTTCCTCTTGGGGTCCCTCCTATCAGCAACCCTGCCAAGGCTTCAACTGCCCCATCCTCATCCGCTATTCTCTTCTTGTATTCGTGAACTGCAGAGAGGCTAAATAACGTTGCTGCAGCATTTTCCCTTGCCTCAGTTGTGTGTCCAAATCTCAAAACTCGAACAATTGATCCTAAACACTCTTCTTCACCCATTATTCGGCTCTTGTTCTTGTCATATATTGATAAGTTGAGCATTGCGGTGACAGAATTCTCTTGTGCAACAGCATTCAAAGAGGAAAGCAGTTCTTTCAAATGAGGGATTGCGCCAGCTTCTGCAATGTAAGCCCGGTTTTCTCTCCCAGTTTTTGCTAGCAAACGTATCTCACGGGCAGCAATGGTTTTTGCTATCTGTGACCCGTTTGCTAACTGTTGAATAAGAAGAGTTGATGTGGCCTTGTTAGCTTCGGTCGCAGCCTTGCTTGCTGAAGCCGATGCAAAAGTTTCAGCAGAAGAATCTGCATTCTCCGGTGGGTCATAATGTAATCCATGAGCAGTGCACCACTGCATAATCAAGTTTCTAAGAGCACAATTAGGAACAAGCCGGGTGTGAATAAGCATTTGTCCGGTTTTTGGGCAAGTATAATGCCCATCCTCAAGCCACCTTGATATGGAAGCTTGATCATAAGTCTGTCCTGTTGAAATTATCACCGGTTCTTTCATCAAATCCAATGTTATTGGGCAACAAAAGTCCTTCGGAATCTTGACAAATATCTCTGAATTTTTTCTATTAATCAACCCTTTCTTCAGCTTATTCTGTTTCCCACTCTTCAATTCCACTTCATCCTCCTCAAACCCAAATAACAAGAACCTACAATACCGAGTCAGCGCTACAAACCCATTAATCACGGATACGGATGGCTCCAAATCACCATCATGATTCACAATTTGTTCTTCCAAAAACTCAATTTCCACCCTAAAACTTTTCGCCCCTTGAATTCCTAACCTTTCAACGAAAAAAGAGTGCAATTCCACGGGACAAGGAACTCTCCCGTTCTCAAATTCATCAAGAAATGAAAATAATTTGAGTCTCAAGGCCTCGTCATGTTTATCAATCAACAATTTCGAACGTTTCGCTTGTTTATGCAATAATTCAACTTGTTCCCTAATATCATCACTCAAATTCAACTCATTCAATGGGAAAACATCTAAGAGAGTGCAAATTTCTTGATTGAGATCATGAAAATGGCCCGAAATGGAATGGTTTTGAAGCAAAAGCCACAACTTACAAGAATGGAAGCAGTAATCGAGAAGCATCTTCGAACGAAGCAACAACAGGTACACCTCCTTGAAGCAGAGAATCGCCGTCGAAGACAGATTCAAACTCGAACTCGAACTCGAATCGCGAAGATACTCAAACAGAAGGACGAAGACCTCCACCTTCCGAATCAACGACCGCAAATTCTTGCGCTGAAACGGCAGCGCTCTCCCCGAGAACGAAGCAATCAGCTCCGCCGACACCGCCTCTAGGGTTTCCACAAGCGCCACGTCCGTCAGATCCACCGGCGCTAAGAACGCTTCTAGCGATGGCGATCTCCTCCTCACCGACGAAAATATCGCCGCCGACGCCATCACCAAAACTCTTCTCAATCTCTCTCTACAAATATATATATGTTTCTATATATATCGCTCCTTCTCAACAGATCTCTGCAACAACTCTTCTCTCTCTCTCTCTATATATATATGATCTCTGCAACTTGTCTCTATATAAATTGATGTTTGTGTCTGCAACAGAGGTTGTGAAATGGTATTGGAATTTAGTGTAGAGTGTTTGGAAGGTCAGAAAGTAAATATAAGGAATGGAAAATGAATGACTGTAACAATGAATCCGCGTGATAATGAAGACGAAGGAAGAGAGAGAGAGAGAGAGAGAGAGAGAGAGAGAGAGAGGATTGACTGAAGTTTCAATATGAGGAGGAGGAGGAGCTGTTTTTCTGGTTATTGGATTTGTATCTCTGGGAATTTTCTAGGCAACTCCTTCCATGAAAATGACATTTGTTTTTCTTAGCTTTGACGGACGGATTGCTCTATGTGATGTGTTTGGGTTCATCTTTATTCTGTCCATTCGTTTCACACATACAGTAGGCATTGACTCCTCTTACTTTTTGTTTTTTCATTTTTTTATTTTTTTATACAAAGTAGATTTGTATTTATATTTACAATCTCCCTAGGTTGTTCTACGAATTTTAAAATGACATTGTTTTAACTTTTTTTTTTTTTTTTTTCCCTTTCTTTTTCTATGAAAAAGAGAGGCTAAAGAAGAAAGAGAGAGGAGGATCAAAGAAAGAGGGGAACAGAGGGAGTCGGAACTCCCTCCACCCACCAGCGCCGCCATCATTGTCGCAAATCCCTTCACCCATCGGCACCGCCATCGATCCTCCTCTCTGTGTGTACACACATAGATCTGTGTGTATACACAAATCTGTGCTCTCCCTCCATCCACCGGCACCGCCATCACCGTCGCAAACCCTTCACTTACCAACGCCGCTGCAACCCTCCGTTGTGTGTGTATACACAGATCTGTGTATACACAATAGATCTGTGTATAGATCTCTCTCTCTCTTTGTCTCTCTCTCTCTCTATTTCCCCTCTCTTCTTTTCTTCTTCTCTCTTCTTCCTCCTATGCTTTTCTCCTTCTCTCTTCTTCCTCCTATACTTTTCTCCTTCTTCGGTCTGTTTCTGAGAGAAAATAGAGGGGGAAGGGAAAGAAAGGGAAAAAAAATAAATAAAATTCAAAACGACGTCGTTTATAGCATTCAAGCCATTCGGGGCAAAGAATTTTCGTGTTACAAATCATTTTTGTTATATTTATAACTACAATTACAATTTTATTTACTTTTACAGTCCATTTGAATTGAGTGATTTAGAAATTAAAAAAAAAAGATATATATTTTTCTTACGTTGTGTTTGGTTAAGAATTTGATAAGAGATTTGAAAAGAAAAATAAAAAGAGTAGAATAAAATATGCTTATATATTTCACTTAGTTTCACACAACTTTATTTTTCCCATTTTCAAATCTTTTCTCAAACTTTCCAACCAAACATAGAGTTAGGGAAAACATTATGGTACACACTGTGCACCATATACAATTTATAACTAAAGAAAAAATAATATAATTTCATACTTTCTAAATTATAATTAAAAAAATATCATAATTAAATACAACATGAAACATAACCAATTAGCTCCTGAACCATAGCTAAAATAATGTCATAATTAAAAAAAAATTAATCATAACTATAAAAAATAGCATAACTACAAATGCATGTAATATATCATTTTCAAGGAGTGTCTAGAGTAAAATTTCCCACTACAATAATAGCTACACTAATGTGATGTAACAATAATATATTCAACAATGATTCATCCCACTAAAAATATCACCACTAATAGCACTAATACATTAAAAAAGTAAAAAAAATAAAAAAAAAAAAACACAACTCCAAGACCAAAATATCACATCATTAATGACGGGACCCACTGCCACCTAATTAGTGGGAACACTAATTAGTGCTCCCAAGCATTTTTCTAATATATTGTAGTACACATCACAAACTTCCGTAAACAAAATTTTGGTACAACAGTGGTGGCTTTAGGCTTTGTAGGCTTATAGTTAAGCCTTCATTTGGAATTTGGATTGATTTTTTTAGTTTTTTCACTTTTTAATTATTTTAGTTTGAGGTAAAAAAAGTTTTATTTGGGATAGACTTTTTAGTTTTTTTAATTTTATGAGAAAAAAAATGAAATGATTATAATTTGGATGTGATGTTTTATCTTATTGAGCTAAAAAACCTATTTTGTCTTTTTATGACTATTTTAATCGAAACCCTATATGCCAAACGAAGTGTTATCATGGTTTAGAAGTTTGAGATTCATCAACTTATGTCTCAACTCTCAAATGTAAAAATAGTAAGGTTTAATTCTTCAGGGGTAGCCTAGTTGATAAGTAGGTATTATCACGACCCAAACTCGTTCTTATAGGTTTAGTGTCGTAATCAGCTAGTAATCATTGGATTACCTAAGGCCTCCGAAGAGAATAACATACAATAAGGGGTTGCGGAAGCAACAAATAAAACATACATATTCCACAGAGCTGTGTTAACATATATGAGACAGAAATTTTCAAAACAAAAATCATATATATATGCACCTATGACGTCATAGATATGGTAGCCTGACGTCACCTATATACACAAACAAAGTCAAAAGGGGACTAGCCCAATACATATGCAATAGGAAAAAGAAACTTGTTCATAGCTTCAAAGGACAACAAAGTCTCAAACATGTGCCACATAAACTTGTCTTGATCACAAAATGGAACCTTCTCGGGAGGAACAACAGTTGGTTGACAAAACAAAGACTCCAGGCAACAGCTTAGACTTGGTCACCCGCCTACTCCCCTACATACATAATATAAATAGTAAACGAAAGCCTAGTGAATAATAACAAAATAAAGGTTTTACTGAATGATGTCCATACAGAAACAGAGTCTTCTACATAATCAAATGTCAAAGCAGAAACAGATTCGTATATATAATCATATTCGTCTTCACAGTTCATACATTTCACTTGATAGTACGTGGTACATCCATTAGCGTTAACAAATCCGACGACCCATGAAGGGACTACCATAAAGGCATTCCAATGACCCATAAAGGGACAGCCATAAGGCATTCTAATGACTCATGTGCACAGAGACGTTTCCAATTACCTATAAAGAGACAGCCATAAAGGCATTTTAATGACCCATAAAGAGATGTATATCATATGATGCTAAGGATGCCACGAATGCATTTCAGAAACTTGGACAATCATTCATTCACACAAAATATAGCATTTCAAAAAACTGATCATTCCATATCATCAGAAAATAATTAAAGTTAAACATAACTTTACAGATTTATTACTCACAGATGGCTCGGATAGCAAAATAGAGAAAGCTGGCGATTCAGATAGTCTATGACGCATGACTTACACAAACGCATAGCAGATACACATTGAAATATACGCTCGGAATATACATAACTCATTACGTTTCGTTTTTAGTATATTTATAGGTCTTATCCTCATTATTATGTCTTAATATTGGCTTAGGAGTGCCTAGGATGCAATAAGGATGCTAAAATGCACTTGAACACACATCTAATATGCTGGAAATAGAGGTCTCGCTCGAGCGCAACTTTCTTCGCTCGAGCGGACGTCTAAACATGTGAGTAGTCACTCAAGTGCAACTTCCTTCGCACGAGCAGGCTGTAAACTATGCAAAAGTATTGATTGCTTGATTTTCTTCGCTCGAGCGGGCTGTAAACTATGCAAAAGTATTGATTGCTTGATTTTTTTCGCGCGACGCAAGCTCGACGGTCACTCAAGCGTGAGACTAAGGTCTTCACTCGAGCGCAACTCTTGTCTCTCCAGGGGTTTGCAAAAATGGTAAAGTTCTGGGAGCATGAATTTTATGCTCGAGCCAACTATTTGTCGCTCGAGCGAGAGTATCAAAGAAAGAGTGGTCGCTCAAGCGCAGGTTTTGTCACTCGAGCAAAGAGCAAAATTCTAGAATTTCCAGATTGCACTCCCAAGTTCAAAACTCGAATTCAAAGTTGTAAAACATGTTCCTTTGGGACAAAAACTTAAGAAATCACTTGTAAACTTGCAAAACATCATGAAGAAAGAATCATTACTTAAAATCAAGGCTCAAAAGCAAGTGGATTCTTCAAATTTAACTTGAATTATGTGTATACATACCATGCATGTGTTAACTTGGGTTCAAAGCTTTCAAAACATAATCAAATGAGGTCTAAAGGTGAGAAATATCGTGAATTCTTAAAAGCATGCTAGAATTACTACATGCATGAGAGGAAATCTTTGTAAACAACTCCAAAACTCTATGAAATGCATATGCATGCATGGGATGCTCTTCTTTACTATTTCCTTAATTCAATACATGCATCTCATGGCCTAATTTCTTCGAATGCAAACACTAACCAATTAAATTACAAGACTAGAGGCTTGAATGCTCACCTTAGATGCTTAATTGAACTCTAGTTGGCTAATTGTGTGAGTTTCCAAGTCAAATCCCCCAAATCTTTACAAGAGTCAAGCTTTGAACTCAAATTCTCCTGGGTCTCTCTCTCCCATGTTTGGTGAGTATAAAGATGATAAAAAAAAAAAAAAGGCTTCTAAAGGCTATTTTGGCCTTATACAGGCCCACTTAGTTTAGTTTAATTAAACTTGGCTTAAGCTAATCAAATGGGCATTATTTATTCTAATTTAATTGTTCTGAATCGAATTTTAATTAAACCTACCATAAAATTCTAAAAATTCCACATAACACATATACCAAGTCAATTTCATGATCGGATGCCTTAAGGTCTTCAATTCATAAAATATAACAGAATCTCAAACAGATATTCCTACAATAAACAGATAGAAATACAAATAATGCAACACACATGCAATTAATTCAGAATTCCATCTTAATTACCCATTAGGCATAATTAATCATTGTTTATCGGCTAATCATAGGTCAGGATTGTTACAGGTATATTCTCCACCTATCCAACTCGGATTTGACTATAGTTGACTCTTCTCGTTTATGCGAATTGTACGATTAGGGAATGTCGTTTGATTTTCAAATTTATATTTTTGGGGTTTGCTCAAAGAATCCTGCTTGAGAGATGTTCTCACTTATCACAAAAAATATGTATCTTTCTATCACGACCCAAACCCGCCCCTATGGGTTTAGCACCGTAACCGGCCAGTAATCTGAGATTACCGAAGGCCTGCTTAACAGTAGTACAGTAAGACATAGTACAGGGGCTGGCGGAAGCCAATACAGTAAATAAACAGTGTCCAATGAGCTGTGACAGTCTGTATGCAAAAAGACTTCATTCAAATATATACAGTCAGACAAAACAATATGTACATATATACATTCATTCAGTTCAGGGACCTAATCCCTATTAAACAGTACAATACAATAAACAGTCTATACAGTTATGCAAAACAGATACAGTGACAGA